AACGCAGTGGAAACAAATCTTAATTTTAAAGGTTATGTACAGTTTTTACTGTGATCACTGCAATTATGCTGTAATTTACTGAACGTGTTTTTCTTTTATTCTAGTTTTTTTTCACCCATTTTATCAACTACCAGGCAAAAATTGGGATGTTATGTATGCATTTTTGAGTGAATATATAGACATACTCAGTAGATAAATCTCTTATTTTTGCCCTTGATACACTCACAGAAAGAAAAGAAGAGTGTTTGATATTGCATCAAATAAGTCTTGTCTGATGGGTTTTGGGGCAGGGAAGGGGGGCTGTGCATCCACAGTTTTTGCCAACGTTACTAATCAGTTATTCTCAGCTTTTGGTCAAGCCGCTGCCTTGCCTGTCAATCAGGGTTAGCTGCAGGCGCAGAGGCAGGAGCTGTTTGGCCCAGTACATTTGAATGTCGACATTAAAATTCCACACTGCAAAATTGTGTACAAATTGGAGCTTGGCGGCCTAAATTTAGATGCAGCTGAATAGAATGTCGCAAGTGCACTGGATTCTGTCAGTCAAGGAAGTGTCGACGCCTCACGTTAAACGAGACCCGCCTAGTTGTCACCGTTTCTGACCGGCTTGGAATCGGTCTGCAAGCCTGTTTGCCTGGAGTGTGTGATTCGGTGGAAGGACAAGGAGACAGCAATCAGTGATGAATATGTGATTTGAGATGATGAAGCGGCCTGGGAGGGAGGAGGAGGAGAAGAAGAAGGAGAAGGAGGCAAAGAGGACTGATTAAAAAAAGACTCCTTGTCACAACAAGAGCATCGTTTGGCTGGGGCTTAGGGGCTTATTGTGAGTGAGGACCAGTGTTAGTCAACCCCAATCAACGGCAAGAGGCCACTACACAGTTCATCAGAGACCCCGAGTAAACAAATAAAAACGCAGCATGGGCCTCTCTGCAGACTGTTCGATCCCTGAGAGGAGAATCCTGGGAAGGAGAACTCTCTGCAGGAAGCACGACAGGTGTTTTAAGAGGAGCTTGATCACCCATCTCCGTTCCTCGGTTTCTGTTCTTTGTTAAACTCCACGTAACCTCCATCAAGTCATCTGTCAAATGGCTCTCTCCCCCTCGCCCCCTCCTCTCTGTCGGAATATAACTTGATTTGCAATGTCTGTATCCCTGCGATTGTCCTGCGCTCTGATAAGGATCCATGTTTTCAGGGAGGGTTTGGCTGTGCCACATCTAATGAAAGATCTTAATTAGATCCATTTGTGCCCAAAGGAGAGTAGATGCAATATTAAATTGTCACTCCTATCACATTCCTCCAATTTAGGCTGCAGGATACGTCTCGATCCATTTTATTTCGCCACAGATTAATGGTGAACTTTGCTGTCACTACTACCTCCTGCATTCCCCCTCTCATCTTCAACAGAGAGCGAGAGACTCTTTCCTCTGGAAGGAAAACATCTTCCTCTTTGCTATGTATTATAAAACATTAGAAAAATTCTAATTTGCTTCCCAATTCCTCTCTTTGTGGAGCACATAAAATTGTGTCTCTTATTTTGAGTCCAAATTGAAGCCTTCCTGATAGTCTTGCTCTTTTAAGTATCAGCAAAATTCAGACAAGCCTCGTTGTCCTTGAAATGTGTCTTTTTTTTATTGCCCATAGTAAATTTAACTTTGAAATATTTAAGTTAACTTTCTCAAGGCAAGGAGTAACAAAAAGAACTTTTTTTTATTTTATTATATTATACAACTTTTCTTTCTTTCTTTCTTTCTTTCTTTCTTTCTTTCTTTTTACATAACGTGTGTGCACTGTGCATATTTATATATAAATACACACAAATGCATGAATATATTTAAGAAAAATGTTGTTTTTATATTAATAATATTTATATGTAATATCAATTATATTAATAGAAATATTACTGTAAATAGATGTAAAACCTTTTCAAAATATATACTGTATGTGTGTGTATTTATATATACAAAATAAACATACACCGTATACATGTATATTATGTAAACAAAAACTTATTTTGGATGAGATTAATCGCGATTGAAAGCACTAAACATTATCATTTAATTTTTGTTATAATCACAATAAACTGCAAAATTTGCTGTACTATTATTTATTTGTCCATATTAGCAATTTAATCCATGTAAACCTTTTTTGAAAATTCCAATATACTGTGTGCGCATTAGTCTGCAAACATCTAGCGGAGGCTCACGTAGTCATCACCTCTGATCACCTGCACTTGTCTCCACACTGGTAGAAACCTGCAGCACGACTTGCATCTAGAAACATTCTGGCAGCTGACATTCCCCCTCACTAGAGGAAGGCAAGAAATGTTCTCTAGGCATGCCGAGTCGCATCAAGCAATGCTGGTGGAAGATGACAGGGCCTGAAACAGCAACATCAGCAGCCGACTAAGAGCAACAAACACAGCTGCTCTGCATAAATTTTATACACGCAGTATCTCTAAACACACTGCTTATACTCTATCACACCTAGTGCCTCTGCATTCTTATATCTCAGCTCTCCTGCAAGACGTGCTCTTTCATATTCATAGATTTTCACGGTTGAATTTTTAAGGTCCTGCTATAGCAAAAGTTTCTCCGATATGTCATCACTTCGCCAGATGTTTTCCCATCTCTCCGCAAGGTCCATTTCTTTCCATTTTTTCCCTAGAATATACTCGCACCTCATTACTTTTTTTTTCACCGTTCTAATTTGTCTGAAACATCTTTTCTCATCTCAAATATGTTGATGTCCCCCCCACTCCATAATGTCTGACAAAGAGTGTTTTCAAATGTGCAAGTGTAATGAGAGGCTGCAGATGGAGGTGTGAGTGTTGAAGCTGCAAATCCCTCAACAGCGAGTGCAAAGTTGGGGGAACGTTCCTCTCACTGGAACACGCGGTTCAGGGTGAGCCGAAGATATTTGTACCCGACACCTCTTAGTTTATACCCGTTGAGGTTAGCTTGGTACCTCTCCCTCATGACTTGCACAATATTCCCATGAATACCTTACAATACTGTGTTCGGAAAGCTGCCATGTCAACAGAAGCATAGAGAAACAAGGACAAGCTAGAGACGCTCATGAAGGACAAGTCCCATAATAAAGGGTTGTCTGGCAGGCTATCTGCTTTTTCTATCTAAGCGGAGGCTAATCAAATTGCACGTTTGGTAGCCTGTTGTATGTTTTTAATGATTATTTATTTCAAGCCTTCAGGGTCACGAAACCAAAAGAATCAAAACAGCGCAACGGACATGCTTCCTGTCATCGTCTTGGTCATTATTGCGTCCAAGCCAGCACTCTGAATTCTAATGGGTTAGCCGAGCTAGCAGCACATCGTGTTTGCGAAGCATATCTGCTCGTCGAATCCCAAGAGAGGTGTGCGAGAGAGGCAGCACGGAAAGAGCAAAGGCCTGCTGTTGTCTCTTGTCACCATGGAGAGAAATGGACAGAGTAATTGCGTTGTTCCAGAGCCTGAGGAATCCCATCAGCCAGGAGCTGGTGCTGTCAGAGGACATAAAGATGCCACTAAAAACTTAACTCTCCACTGACACGTTGGGTGGCTCGGGCCTGCACAAAACGACAGGGGAAAAGACAGACAGATTAACCATGGTGGGGTGCAGATGAGAGCGAAAGTGCTTCGGAGAGGGTTTGGGAAACAGCCAGCTGAGATGAGGGCTGAGTGTGTCTGTTGCCAAGATTGTGTATGATGGATGTGAAAGAAGTCGAAATAAATGCTCAGGGTTGCTTAATAATTTCCCACTCTGGGAAATACCGGGGGTTTGCTAAATGAAGCTTATTTTCTCTCATTGTCAGTAAGTGCACCTTTTTTGGCTATTTTTTATAGATTGAGGCATTAAGGAAATTAGTTCATCGCTGCTGGAAAAACAAGGTGATGCTAGCTTCAGGTAGTTTTGAAACATTTTAGCTGGTTTTTGGCTGATCTAAGGTAGTTTACCAGCTCTAACCAGCTTGACTAGCAGTGTTCCGTAAAATTGAAGAATTGTCTGCCTGCCTGTCTGTCTGTCTGTTGATCCATCCATTTATATATATATATATATATATATATATATATTCATCCTATATCTATATCCAAAACGTTGGTCAGATTTGAACCTTTGTCTCCAGCATGAGCTCCATAACACATAGGGATCACCTGCTGCATCACAGCTCTGACAATAAGTACACATTTAATAGAAATCCACACGGGTCTAACAGAAACGGGAATTTGACAACTTTCTTCTCTTTGTTAACTTCAGAAAGGGCTTAACATTGCCTGAGGAGCTCTCTTGTTAGCCGTTATCATTGCCCTATATGATAGGTGGGCTATTTGATCTCAGTGCACCAGCTCTCTGCACAATTAACGTTGCTGCATGAAGAGAAGTCGGGTTTCGGCGCTCCATACATCTCTCCAGCAGGGAGAGTTAATTGTGTTTTGGGCCTGGTTGCATGACTGCGACCTCTACTACTGTCTGTTCTCACCGGTTTGAGATCCCGCCCGGCTCGGAGACTTCCAACTTTCTGACACCTTTTGTTTGTAACTCAATTAGAGTGTATTTTAAAGATCTATTCCGTGCAGCACACTCGGCATGCTTTTTCCGAGAACTGTCCTCTGAAACATTCCTATTCCAATTTTCTTAAATGGACTGGGGGATTGCGTGTTGGGTCTTCGCAACACAAGAAAAACACCATTCGCAGCTAAGGTGTTTGCGTTAGTGTGAAACCAAAAAGTGTCATGTCTGTAATGTTGCAAAAGAAAGGACAGGTAACGCAAGCAATGTCAGGCATCACAAGCTAGGTGTTACCCGGTCCCCAAGCACACTCTAACACACTCAACAAATCACACAGTACCTCCTCTTCAATCTCCCCGTGGGACACAAAACCCACAACCGGTCATCTCCCAATTCCCTCTTTTCCAGTTCTGAGCTTCCTCTTTGTCTCCTGTACGTTTGAAGTCCTCTGAAGTGCTTTCACATGGGCCTGATCTCTTGTCTTCTTCTCTTCTCTTCCAGATGGTCACAAGAACAAAGAAAATATTTGTAGGCGGATTATCAGCTAACACAGTAGTTGAAGATGTGAAGCAGTATTTTGAACAGTTTGGCAAGGTAAGATCTCATTTTCCTTTTTCCCTTTGGCTAATTTCATGGAGAGATGTTTGCATATGATGAGAAATGCTGTCCCTCAAGGGACCCTTTCAAGACTTTCAAACAGGCCGTTTGAGATGTGGCCATTTGGAGATGAAAGACCAGTGTTTGCTTGGCCTCTGTCGTCCACTGGATGTAGTAGCCAGGACCTTTTGCTTAAAGCTGCCGTGTGTAATCGGTCTGAACATTTACTTAACCAATGATGTGTTCGTTTCTGACTTTATGGATAGATATTAATACAGATTTCCCAATTTTATTCTTATTAGAGATGCACCGATTGCAATTTTCTTGGCTGATTCCGATTTTTTTTTGTTAGTGTGATCTGCCGATACCGATTTTTGCCGATTCCGATTTTCTTTCTAAGAGCTATAATTGACAGCGTATACAAACAAAAATCTACTTTTCTTCAACGCAAAGTTTTATTTTCATAAAAAAAACAAGTAAAAAGTCAGTAATAAAATAAGAACACAAAAAATTGCAAACAACAGCACAAATAAATGCAATAGAATAAAGAGAGTTTTTCAGGTTAAGTAAGTTTTTATTCAGGTAAGAAATACTACAGAAATTAAAGTAATCAAATGTAAAATAACACTGGATGTATTATTTTACATTTGATTACTTTAATTTCTGTAGTCTTCATTGTAAAAAT